TTAAGATACCTAAATGGAGCTTCTAGCATTTGTCTAACATTTACAAAGTCAGAGAAATTTGATATCGAAGGTTTTTCAGATTCGGATTACTCTACAGATTTAGACAAAAGAAGATCAGTTTCAGCTTATGTGTTCAAGGTAGGGGGTAATACGGTTAGTTGGAGATCATGCTTACAACAAGTAGTTGCCTTATCTACTACAGAAGCTGAATACATGGCACTATCAGAAGCAACAAAGGAAGGTATCTGGCTAAAAGCAATGTGTGAAGAATTGGGTTTCAAACAAGATTCTTTCAAGTTAAATTGTGACTCTCAGAGCGCTATATGTCTAGCTAAAAACAGTGTGCACCATGACAGAACTAAGCATATTGCAAACAAATATCATTTCATTCGAGATATAATTGAAGAAGGTTCAGTCAAGGTTCAGAAGGTTCATACTACAGAAAATGCAGCAGACATGTTAACGAAGAGTTTACCTGGTAGGAGTTTCGAGAAGTGCCTCGGCCTTCTCAAGGTAATTCGGTAGTTGGCTCGAAGCGTCCGGCAGGTTCTTATTTTGTTGATTGAAAGACCTCGCCAAAAGGGACACAAACAGATACTGAAGAAGTAAGTATCGGTAAAGAAATCAACACAAACAGAGTTTATTCTGAATGGTAAAGTTTGGAAGAAGGTTGATCTGCGGTGAACAGCAGATTAATGGGTATCTAAGAAAATTTATCTACGGTACTTCAGAAGATAAGTGGTTTTCTTATGATTGGGTCTACGGTATACAGAGATCTACTGGTTCTTTCTAAAGTAAGTTATGACTTCACGGTTACCTTTTCTCAACAGTGATGAGGTAAAGTATGAGCCTTGAGACATCCTCGTCAGAACTGCAGATATGACAAGGATACTCAGAGTTAGTAAAATTCGTCAGGTGATAAGAAAAGGACAGACGTTAATTAACATGTTACCAGAGTTCTTGAAGATCGGAGTAATGGAAGGTAGTGAGATTAGTCGACGAATCTCTTATCCATTCTACGGTTATATCCACTGGAAGAGTAAGATCGGGTGTTTGAAGCAAATCAAGATCAGATCTTCGCAGTTGAAAATTCTCGAACTTTAATGGTTGCATGTTCGATTGAAGGAGAGAGATCGAAGTGAAGTGGTTGTTTTTATTGAGAAAGGCGTCAAGGGTTGATCGAAGCTGAATCACAGAGAAAGGAAATGATTCGGAGGAGAGAAGACAGGAATCTGCGCAGAGGGGGAGACGAGTATTCTCGAGAGAGATTGGACCAAAGTCAAAGGTGGAGTTTGTCGGGTCTTGGTGTTGTCTTTGTCCTCTGGCTGTTGGGCCAAGAATCCATTAAGCCCATTAGCTACATGGTGAAGTAATGGGCTGGTTCAATAAGTCTTCAGAGTAAAGCCCGGTTTTTGCTTTAGGGCTTTCGTCAAAGATCACCTGCGTATATAAGGGAAGTAACCTAGTTACTTGCAAAGTACGTGTTACAAAATCAGATTGCAGAGCATCAGATCAGAGGAGATTATCTTGGTTAAAAGATCATCTAAGTCTACCTGAGCAAGCAGCAGTCGGTGGAGAAGAACTAGATTACTGTTCTTAGCTCTAAGCTTTGGTGTAGAAGCGTTAGAGCATACTTCTCTTGTATTACATCTTTTATACTCGAGTTAGTGAATTGGAAGCGTGGTCTTCCCCCAGACGTACCGAAAGGGAACTGGGTCAACAATCTGTGTCTTGTCTTATTGTTCCTGCAAAACAAACATACAAACAAACAAGTCAGTAGATTAAGGTTAATTGATCTAAACAGTTAGACAAGTGAAACTAACTTGAGAACTAAGGTTTTAAGGATAACGAATCTGGTACAAAACCTTACAGAAAGCATTTCTAGCCTTTCATATGTGCCATAGTAGCATGGGAAAAATAGAACCTGCATCTGGAGGTAGGGACTCTTTTTTTACTGCATTGGACTAGATGATACAAATACAAGAAGACTGAGTTAGACCAAGACCCGGATGGAGGCAGAGGAATAGCAGAGAGGGACCAAACTTCTTGAGCAAAACGACATTTGAAAAGTACATGGTTAATATCTTCTCTGCCATTATTACCACATGATGAGCACCTGGGATCAATGTTGATACCTCTAGAACACAATCTCTCCTTCACAGCCAGAGCTCCAGATAGCGATCGCCAAACTAATAAGCTGTCGTCAGTGAACAGTAAATGGTGTACTTCAGGACCTGATGAGCCGATACCGATATCGTGCAAATTACCTAAAGCTGCTGAGTTGTTTAGGGAAAGTATTCTATATTACCCTACTTACAAAATATCTATTCTCACTACCCCACATTTTTTCTCACTACCCCACCATTTTCCCCTTTACCTTCTTACCCTTTCTTTTTACTTTTATATTTTCTTTTTTATTTTTTCTTATTTTCCGAGCGGGTCCCACAATTTGTTTTGGACAATAATTTTTTTTTTTGCCAGATTATTTTTAGGGCACAATTTTAAGAAAAAAAAATATTGTAGTTTTTTAATTAATAATGAAAATTATGAAAACAAAATAAAAATTTTCTGTACATCTTAAAATATTTTTTATAAATAATAATATAAAATAATAAATTATTTAAATAATATTTTAATCAAAAATTAATTTCAAAAATAAAATTTACAAAATATCTATAAATTACTTTTCCTAAATTAAAAATTTATCTCTTTTATATAAATTTTAGAAATTTAAAATATATTTTTTATTTTAATCAAAAAATAGTTTCAAAAATTTTATACAAATTATTTCAATAATATTTCAAAAAATATAATTTAATAAAATATTTATTTTTTATTTTTTGTCACTGGTTTTTTCATGGTAATAAAAATATTTAAATCAAAAACAAATTTATTAAAATATTTCTATATATTTTGGTTATATAAAAATATTATAAAATAAAATTTAATAATATATTTATTTCAAAATATTTTAATCAAAAATAAATTTAATAAAATATTTATATAAATTCCGATTTTACACAAAAAAAAAGATTTCTTCTTTTAACCGGATTTTATGAAAAAACATTTCAAATATATAAATTTAGTAAAATATATATTTCAATAGTCACAGTTATAGTTTTAAAATTAATGTAATAAAACTATATTCTTTATGAAATGAAGGATATATAGTCTTTTGTATATTTCTTCTTATTTTGCACTGTTTTAAACCATAATAATGCATTACAATAGTGGTATACGATATTGTGATTTGTATAACACCCTCATGATCAATTATAAGTGTTAAATCGAGAAAAGCAAAAATTTATAAGAACTACTGGAACGAATGGTATTACTAAAGTGAAACGTGTATTACTTGTATTACTGAAACGACTATGTACCAAAGATCTTAGACAACTTAGATTCTTTAAATGGTTAACTAATCATAATTATTTTTTTCAGGGAATTATATGGCTTCTCCCATTACAGTCATATGTTTTGACTATGGAGGAAGTTACATCAAGTATGGGCATGAGATAAAGTGGATCTCAGGAGAAGATCAAATTCACACTCTAGTGATGAAAACATCTGTTGAAGAGGTTACATATTCTGAATCGGTTGATAGTATATACAGAAAGATTAAGGCAAATGGAGATGGGATGCTGAAGATTAGTTACTTTCCAATGGTGTTGTATTCGAGCATACCATCATATATTTGGACTGATGAAGACGTTTTGGGTTATCACATGCAAGTAAATCATGATAACTGTAGAAGTGTTTTACATGTGGAGATCAGCAATGACATGAACTCGAGCCTCCTCAGGTTTTTTCTCAGCTTGAACCTCTGCTTCATTCATCCCAACCTCTTCTTGAACCTCATTAGGTTCTTTCTCTGCTTGAACCTCATCAGGTTCTTTCTCTGCTTGCATGCTTCTATAACCAAATATAATAACAAGAACAACAACACCAGCCATAAAATATTCTTTCTGATGGAGATGAAACTGATGATGAAACTGATGATACCAAGAATCATGGAATTGAGCAACTTGAATTACTAGGAACTACTTTGTATTACTATGTGTAACTAGAATTACTAGAAACTACATTGTACTACTTTGAACTACCTTAAACTACTTTGAATCACTATGTGTTACACATTTTTCTATTAACCTTCATTTTCATTTTATTATTTATTTTTAGATGACGTATCTCATATATTACGTGATTATATGTTCATATATGTGTATATTTTCCCAGTAAGACATAAAATATTCTTAAATTCTCAAATTTGTAGAAAACTTTCCATTTCCATAGAAAATCTCCTTTACTTCCTTACAAATGTCTTGATGGGAAGGTCATAATGAGATGAATTTCAGAAAATACATTATTTCTAAAATTTGTTTCTACCAATGTGTTAGATACAGTCTAAAACTATCTAAATACACTGGTATTACTAATAAATTTAACTTCTAGAGGTTGTATTACTAAAAAATGCGTAAATTTGCAAAAGTATTACTATGAAGAATGGAATATTACTAGTAGCTTGTGAACTACTAAGAGTAAATTTAATATTCAAACATGTTTGTTTACTAACACGTTTTAGACATGTGCCATAAGTTTTTTTTATTATTTTTACAAAGTGTGGCTAATGTGTTACACGTTTTAGACATGTGTCTTAAATTTTTTTTTTTTTATTAAAGTGCTGACAATGTTTTCTCTTAGTAATACATAGTATATCTAGTAATACAACTATGTTTTCTTAAGACATAGATTGCCTTGAATTTTTGGGCCAAACCTGTTGCAAGACAATCACACAACACAAAATAATATTCAAGTTTTACAGACCAACAACCAACATAGCAAAATATTTTAAACATCATACATAAGTTTACATAAGCCGTGATAAATATTCATCACCCAAAATACTTTAAGCTGATGGTCTTCTAAGCTTTTGTTCTAGGCTTCTTCTTGCGCCCTTCAATCTCATCGGTGTCAGCTTCAGCGAAAGGACTGGAAACCCACTATGAACGTGAACGTGTCCTTTTTGTCGGTTCTGGCGTTATGAACTTCTTTGGTTCAGCAGCCTTTCTTGGTCGACCCCTCAGCTTGATACCAGTACGAGCAGGAGCTCCTTCAGTTCCATCCGTCTTATCCACAGCAGGGGCTCCATCCGTCTTATTCACAGCAGGAGGTCCATCCGTCTTATTCACAGCAGGAGCTCCCTCGTCAGCTTCCTTCGTTTCGTAGATAACCATGTACCACTTTTTCTTTTCTTCCTCTGTGTATTTTACAGCCTCTTTTCCGGGTTCTTCCACCTCAGCCTCTACCATTTTTTCAGCTTGAGTCTCTGTTTGAACCTCTGCCTCAGCCTCCTTCGTTATCAGCTTTGTTCCTATTCCATTGCGAATAATGCGAAGATATTTAGTTGATCCTTTCTAAATCTATTAGTAAATCAAATCTAACAGACACGAGAAATCCAAGCTCAAACCATAAAAGTGAAGACATTAGATACTCAACCAAAATGAAATCTTATAAACACAAACACTACATCTTAAACACAACTTACATGAATATGATTGTATATGGGATTCAATTATCAATTTACAGGAATGACACAACTAGACCACATTTAAAAACACAAACAATATCTAGACCAGTGGCAAAGATTTGAAAAAAAAACAGAAGCAGAGATAATCTAACAGCTTAGCAAAAAGATTTAAACCATATCTCATAAACACTACATCTTAAACAAACTCGATCCAAGTATTGTAACAATGTCCTTAGTGTGAAAAGGAAAGGACTTTTGAAACAATGTCCTACAAAAGAAGAAAAACATTTTAAATTGAGATCACATTTTAAGCAAATACAGCTCAGGTGAAAACAACCAAGTTAATAAGGATGTAAATCATTAACTGAAACAAGGACCAGAGAAAGGCTAAATATCAAACATACCACATAGCTTCCAAATCGCCTTCTCTACCACTTCACTACTACAGTCCCCCACTTTGCCTGAAGTCGACCAACCGATTCACCCCTCTGGTGGTGAATCAACTCTCCTTCTTTGTTGAAGCGTGGACAGCTTGTAGAATGTTGTAAGCGGTGGAATCACGTCATAGCTTTCAGCTAAGCTTTTGTTCTCTTCGATTGTTGCATGGCTGCTCAGAACCACCATCACCTTCTCTACTGCGAGATCCACCAATGGCTTCACTGCTCGACTTAGCAACATACACATCCTGAGTTGAAATCTTTGTCTTTGTTTTAGAAAAAGAGGCTTTAGAGATAGAGAATGTGTTGTGTGAGAAATTGAAAAAGACATAAAAAGAATGAAGAAGGAGACTCGTGAAGAAGGAGATGAAAAGATTAGGGATTTTGATTTTTTTTTTTAATTTACTTTTAAATAGATGAGATCCGATTGGGTATGAGTTTGGGTGGATAATCCGATTTGAGTTTGTAATTTCTTAAATTCATTAAGGGGTGTTATGTCTTTTTCAATGTTTTCAATTTAAATATAATAAATAAGATAATATATTTTATTAGTGGGACAATCTATTACTATAAAGTAGAGTTCTCTCCCTACAGAATTCGCCACGTCACTAATTCAGCTTTCCTGAATCTGACACCTGTCCAAGGCAACGAAACACGGCGTTTAAATAACATGCATCACCTATCGTGAATTAGGTTTCATCGCCGACTTCTCTCTCGGCCGTTCCGGAGGGTGATTTGGTTCAGACGACGTGACGATCCAGATAGCTGGGGTTCAATCGTCTAACTACCTTTCCGTTCGAGACGAAACTACAACAATTACAGATCTGTCGCATTTATCACTCCTTTAGCTTCTCTATTCCTCCTCTGCTCCCATGGCGATACCATCTGCCACCGCTTGCTCCTCCTCCTATAGACACATAGCTTCTTACTCCACCCCTTCCCTTCCCCTCTCCCCCGCCGCCATTTCCACCTCCACCAAACTCAAAACCCTAACCCTCACCTCCTCCTTCCTCCCTCCACACTCATTCACCACTCCACCCAACCCACCCGCCACTCCTTCAGAATCCGCGCCACACGTGGCAAATTTGAACGGAAAAAACCTCACATCAACATTGGAACAATCGGGCACGTGGACCACAGCAAAACCATCTTAACCGCCGCCCTCACCATGGCCCTCGCCTCCACGAGAAACTCCGTCGCCAAAAAATACGACGAGATCGACAGCCGGAAGAACGAGCCCGTGGAATCACAATCAACACCGCAATCGTCGAATACGAGACCGAGAATCGCCACTACGCTCACGTGGACTGCCCGGACATAAGAATCTTTCTCTGTGTAAAAACAACTCCTTAACTATTTGTTACTAGCCTTATGTTAATATCTTGAAAACCTGTGTACGAAGTCATCTTCTTTGCTGCAGGAGAGTGGCGCTTATCATAGTTTCACTCATTATGCTAACTTTGAAATTTCTTGGTCCCGGTAAGTCACAAATCTGCATCTTTTTTTAATGTTGTTAAGTTTAGAAAGACCAGCTTTTTTTTTTAAATCCTGCAAGCTAATCATCTTAGGAGATAGTTCTATGAGAAGTGGTCAGGTCCTGGGGGGTGATTGGGAGAATCAGCTGTCCAGGTTGATGATTCTTATGTGTTACTCTAACTTTATGATTGGTGTAGAATCACAGGTATTGAGGCTACTAATGTTAATCCTAAATTTGTTGCAGGTATATAGCCATGTCCAAGAATTGGTAAATCTACTCATGTCTCTATCATCATTGGTGATGGAGAAAAATTGAAGCATCAACACCACTGCAAAGGAAGCAGAGGCAGCACAAGCTGAATCAAAAGCAGCTCAAGAAGCTTCAAAGACACTGAGACGACATAACATCTGCAAAATGATAAACACACTCTCCTTATATCATACAACACACGATAAAGAAAATACTTCTCCATGTTCTTATTGAAAATTTGATATATCAGATGGTTTGTATGTGAGGTGACAGAGGAGGAAGAATGAAGAGAGAAGAAGAAAAAAAGAGAATGTGTTGCAGGTGAAGAAATAGTGTATGTTGATGATTATTTACTTGGAAAATCTTTTTAGTTGTAAACAACAATCTTAGATGCTAAAACTAACAACTAATTCTTTAGCTGGAGATATGCGGCATATCTACTACTTTTATGAACAAAGAAACTCATTTTTCTAGCTTTATAGATAATCAAATTTCCGAGAGAGCTTAATAATCTATCTGTTCTCAAAACTTGTGGCTATTTGAGTTTTATATCAAACATTTCATAGTTAGTTTGCCGTAAACCAAATTATTAAAGGATACAAAATATTCTTAAATTGATGTATAATGACTAATGAGATATTTATTACCTTCTGCATTTATATAATATATGTTTGACCAATTTGTTTGTTTCCATATATATCATCCTACGAGTAATTCTTCCACCTCCAGGAAATATCAAATGTCATTAATAATTCAAGGAAAGAATTTGACTTTCTTGCCCAAGGAATTTGCTTGGGATAATTTTAAATTAATTAGGTATCAACCACTCCTGTAGCGATAAATCACCTTATTTACTATGATGAGAATTGGATGACTTCAACCATGTCATTGGTCTGATGAGCAAACTCAGGAGAGAAGAAAGGCTTATTACATCATAAGAAACAGTAGAAAACTCATTCTAGACAACAAAAACGGTAATCAAAACTCCAATAAGGATTAAAATTCAAAAGAAACAAAACGAAAAAGAGAGTCAACAAATCAAGCATCCACATAAACCATCATCACAATTTTTCAAACCAAACAAATCCAAATATATTCATCTATCTATTGTCAAATACATAATATAATCTGATAACACTTAAAATTTAAAAAGAAATAGATAAATTTTCTAAGCAAAAATAATGAAAATATATTTGCTAAAATATTTCAGTTTAAAAATAGTTAATATAATGAAGATTTTTGGATCACTAAATTCAAATAGAGAAATTAAAAATTTATGAAAACCCATGACCAAAAAATATATATAATTAAAGCTAATATTGTTTAAAATCATAATAGAAATAAAATAATTAAATTCGCCGAAATGCATAAGATAACCAAAAATACATAATATAACAAAATTAAAAAATAAAAATATATAAAATTCATAAGAGTGAAAATTTATGAATTTTGTGTCAACAATGTTTCATCAAAGCAAGGTCACTGAAAAGAATGAATTTATTAGTTTTGCGATTATTAAACTCAAGCCCAAAAAACTAAGAAAATATTGAGGGAAACAACAACAAAAAATGCATAATAAAAAAAAAAACATATTTCATAAAGTAGTGTAAATATATAAGAAGATATAACTATTATTTAAAAACTATTTTATCATATAAATAAAATATTAAGTTTCTTATTCAAATAAATGTGATTTTTTTAAAATAGAATGTTACAATTTCGATGATAATATAACAATAAATTCAATACATATATAAAAATAAGAAGTATATATTTGCACAGTCCAAGCTAAGAACGACAAAACATTTTTTTTTACATCAACTTAAACAGAACGGCATAGCAATTAAAGCATAAACTTTAGGTTTTTTTATCATGTCATAGTGAAATAACAATATGAAGAAATATATATATATATATATATATATACTATTACATTTTCTTTATTTTTGCTAATTTTTTATTCTATAAAAAATAGAAAATAATGAAGATTACTGTCATTTTAATTCAAACCAAACATGTTTATTAAAAAAATGATTTGAGAATTTTATTCATTATTTTTTTCCAAACTATTCAGTATTTATTTGTTTATAATATCGCTTCAATTTTTTTAAACTCTTCATATAATTAATATAAATTTATCTAAAATAGTTTTTACTATAACTTCCCGCCCGTAGGGCGGGCCAACCCTAGTATATAATACACAAGAGAGTTAGTAGGGTAATATAGAATTAAGTCCGTTGTTTAGACAGTTCACTAAAGTTTCTGGGCAGAGAATGAAGAGGAAGGGAGACTTCTGCGCATGGCAATGGTTAAACATTAAAAAACATGTGTCTTTTGTGAAGACTTAAAATCGTGTCTTACATTATGTATCAAAGTTAGGATCATTAGCTTATGGATGAATTATAACAAAGAAATTGGGAGCTCTACTGAAATGATGTACGTTAATAAAAAAAGTAAGTAATGATTTTTATACACTTTCGTTTGTTTTGTTAATAGTGTGTTATGTTGTTTTTACTCAAATTCATTTTATTTTTGGTTTTTGTGAAATATATTCAAAATTGTAATGTTTTATATAACTACTATTTCTGCTAGATATTTCATGGTACTCTATCATTCATACGATTACGAATTAATAGATCTATGAGCGCCTCATTTTGTTTGACTTGTCTTTATTGTTATGTAATACTCCCTTTATTTCAAAAAATTAAATGTTTTAGTTTTTTACACATATTAAAAAAAAACATAAAATTTACGACATACACAACAAATATAGAACAACAGCTAATATAGTGATAATATAAAATAGGAAAATAATAAATTAAACACTATTAATTTTCCTTCATATTTTGGGTATTTCTTTCACCCGCACAAGGTGCAGATCACCATCTAATTTTAAATAAATATATAAACAAAATAATATATGGTTGAAGTCATGTATGGATTAATCATGTGATGGAAAATTAGTATAAATGATTATGACTCCTATTGGTAAACATCACTTCATCATGGAATCGTGGAAACAATAGTTAAGCTATGGAAACAAATTATTAAAACTGTGGAAAATTTTAACATTTACAGAATGGCGAAATATATATTAAGATTGATAAAATTATATATAAAGTATTTATTTTATTACAATAAAAAACAAGTTTCAATAATAAACTAACTAATACAAAATTTTAAAATAATCAAAATTTATTAAAAAATACTTTACCTCTTATTTAAAATAGTTACCTTATTTTTCAATACATTTTAATAATAGTTTGATATTTTATAATATTATAAAATAAAATATAACATAAATTTATCATTAAATATTATTGTTGCTTATTTAAATTTTTTTTGAAATGGTGTGATATATCACTATGAAAGTGTTGATTTTGTAAATAATCCACTAAAACTCACCTTTTCACTTAATGAAGATTTTCTTTGTATTTTGGTCAGTAAAAACATAATCTTGCGTTTTACGGATTTTTTTCATTCCGCAACTTTTGATTAGCAAAATATTTGTGTGA